AACCAGAGGCCAGTCATGGTGGCTCAGCCAGGAGCAGTGGCTCACACCTTAATCCCAACACTTTGGGAGGCCAAGGTGGGCAGATCACTTGAGGCTAGGAGTTCGAGATCAGCCTGGCAAACATGGCAAAACCCGGTCTCTACTAAAAATACAAATATTAGCTGGGCATGGTGGCAGGCACCTATAATCCCAGCTACTAGGGAGACTGAGGCAGAAGAATCACTAGAACCCAGGAGACGGAGGTTGCAGTGAGCTGAGATAGTGCCACTGCACTCCAGCATGGGTAACAGAACAAGACTCTGTCTCAAAAAAAAAAAAAAAAAAAAAAAAAAAAAAAAAAAAGAACCACAGGATAACTTTTCTGCTTGCAAGAAGAAAACAGAAAGCTGTACACAAACTCAAGATTCGTTATCTAATTCCAGAAACCCAGCTCTATTCAAATTTCCAAACATTTGTGATTATTTTTAATAATTAAAAAAGTTTTAATAACATTTTAATTAAAATTAATAATACATCAGAAGGAACTGGATGGCACTCTCTTTGGCCTAGAACCTGTATGAAAGCATACTCTTCCTACTTTCCACTAGTTCTATTCCCAAAAATCATACTGAAGACTCTCTTTAAGAATCCAGAATCCTCACCAAATTTAGAATACTTTTAGGGGAGGGAAAAAAACAAACTACAAGCACTGCTCTATATCTCAAAGGATGGGCCCAGTTAAAAGTTCCCCAAATGAAAATTAGAATATGGGACAAAGAATAAATTTTTAAGTCACTGTTTCCTGTCTCCTTCCTCCTCCCCACCAAAAATTCCATAACATAAATTATTTTATTTAGAAGAGGAACTTTTAGAGAGAACACTAAGAAAATCTTTTGTGAAATAACTCCACGCCTCTTCTTTCTACCTCTTAAAAAGGAGAAAAAGCCAGGAGCAGTGGCTCACGCCTGTAAACCCAGCACTTTGGGAGGCTGAGGTGGGCGAATCATGAGGTCAGGAGTTCAAGACCAGCCTACCCAACATGGTGAAACCCTGTCTCTACTAAAAATACAGCATGGTGGCACATGCCTGTAATCCCAGCTACTCAGGAGGCTGAGGCAGAAGAATCGCTTGAACCCGGGAGGCGGAGGTTGCAGTGAGCCAAGATCAAGTCACTGCACTCCAGCCTATGCGACAGAGTGAGACTCTGTCTCAAAAAAAGAAAAAAAAAAGGTTTTAATTTTCAAAGAGGCTCCCCAAGCTCTGTTATTTTCTTATTTATTTTACTTCTTCATATTTTGGAGACAGAGTCTCACTCTGTTGCCCAGGCTGGAGTGCAGGGGTGATCTAGGCTCACTACAAACTCCACCTCCTGGGTTCAAGCAATTCTCCTGTCTTAGCCTCCCAAGCAGGTGGGATTACAGGCACGCGCCATCATGCCTGGCTAATTTCTGTATCTTTAGTAGAGGTGGGGTTTCGCCATGTTGGCCAGGCTGTTCTCAAACTCCTGGCCTCAAGTGATCTGCCCACCTCAGCCTCCCAAAGTACTGGGATTACAGGCATGAGCCACTGCATCCAGCCAAGCTTTGCTACTTTCTAAAGGCAGGCTACATAATCATTTGTTGCTACCATACTGAGCCTATGCCACTCTGAAAGGATTGGGAGCTAAAAGTTAAGAGGAACCAAAAGCACCAATATTATAGAGGGCAGATATCATACTTTATAATCTACTAAGTGAATTATACTTTCACTCCAAAAAACAAACCAAATATTTGATCTTCAAACATGAGTAGAGGGGTTCATGGGAAGCCATGAAATCCATGTGATCTTTTGGATTTCATTTTAAATCTTACATTCAAAACCAGAGTCACATTGCCCCCTTTCCTATCCATAACACTCTCATAGACAAAAAAGAAGCAAGCAAAAAGTAGTAGCAATAATAATAATCACGATATAAGTCAAGTATAATCAATATCAGACTGTCTGAGGTTGGGTGTGGTGGCTCCTACCTGTAATCTCAGTACTTCGGGAGGTCAAGGCAGGAGGATTGCTTGATGCCAAGAGTTCCAGACTAGACTGGGCAACAAGTGAGAACCCCATCTCTACAAAAAGTTAACCGAGTGCAGTGGCATGCACCTTTAGTCCCAGCTACTCAGGAGGCTAAGGCAGGAGGACTATTTGAGCTCAGGAGCTCAAGGCTGCAGTAAGCCATAATGGCACCACCATATTCTAGTCTGGGCAACAGACAAGGACCTTGTCTTGAAAACACACACACCAAGGCCTGGGGGATTGGGGAATAAGGGAGGAATACCTCAGGGGCTGGGGTGGGGTGGGTGAGCGGGGATTGGATAGGGATAGCACTAGGAGAAACATCCAATGTAGATGGCGGGGTGATAAATGCAGCAAACCATAACCATGGCACGTGTATACCTATGCAACAAACCTGCACGATCTGCACATGTATATACTTAAAGAATAATAAAAAGAAAAAAGAAAAGAAAACACACACTGGCCGAGCACGGTGGCTCATGACCGTAATCCCAGCACTTTGGGAGGCCAAGGTGGGCGGGTCACGAGGTCAAGAGTTCGAGACCAGCCTGGCCAATATGGTGAAACCTCATCTCTACTAAAAAGACAAAAATTAGCCAGGCGTGTTGGTGCATGCCTGTAGTCTCAGCTACTCAGGAGGCTGAGGCAGGAGAATCACTTGAACCCATGAGTCAGAGGTTGCAGTGAGCTGAGATCAAGCCACTGCACTCCAGCCTAGGCGACAGAGCAAGACTCCGTCTCAAAACACACACACACACACACAATAAACTCACACACACACACAAAACAGACTGTCTGGATAGTTCTCTCCTAGCTTGATTTTGAAACTGAAGAAAGTTGGAAAATGTTTCCCTGTTCTTAAAAAGCCCCACTATTGTAAGATACAAGCCTAGTGTTCCACATATAATAAATAAATCACTGATTGGCAAAAATGACAGAATCATCTCTCTATCTAATGAACATGAAAACAACACTGTACCTTCTGTATCAGATTAGTACCTCCTGCAAATGCAGCTCCATTTTCTTCTGCTATTTCGACCTCTGATGCATTCTACCAAAACACAATAGTTTGAACATCAATCTTTAATTTTAAATATATTCAGTCTGCTTTGAAGTATGTTGTCAGAAATAATATCACAGTTCAAAGCACAGATTGTAGCTTTTAACTGAAAATGCTCTGGGCACAGTGGCTCACACTGGTAATCCCAGAAGTCTGGGTGGTTCCCCTGAGGTCAGGAGTTCGAGACTAGCCTGGCCAACATTGCAAAACTCTTTCTCTACTAAAAATACAAAAGTTGGCTAGATGTGGTGGCACACATCTGCAGTCCTAGCTACTTAGGAGGCTAAGGCAGGAGAATCACTTGTACCCAGGAGGTGGAGGATGCAGTAAGCTGAGATCATGCCACTGCACTCCAACCTGGGTGGCAGAGAGAGACTCCATCTCAAAAAAAAAGAGAAAATGCTGCTGGGTGCAGTGGCTCACACCTGTAATCCCAGCACTTTGGGAGGTCAAAGCAGGCAGATCACCTGAGGACTGGAGTTTGAGACCAGCCTGACCAACACGGAGAAACCCCGTCTCTACTAAAAATACAAAATTAGCCAGGCATAATGGTGCATGCCTGTAATCCCAGCTGCTCGGGAGGCTGAGGCAAGAGAATTGCTTGAACCCAAGAGGTGGAGGTTTCGGCAAGCTGTGATGGGACCATTGCACTTTAGCCTGGGCAACAAGAGCAAAACTCCATCTCAAAAAAAAAAAAAGAAAAAGAAAAGAAATGCAATCCCAACACTTTGGGAGGCTGAGTCAAGAGAATTGCTTGAAGCCAGGAGTTCCAGACCAGCCTGGACAAATAAGACACCCATCTCTACAAAAAAAAAAAAAAAAATCTTAAAAATTAGCCTGCCATAGTGGCTAGCACCAATAGTTCCAGTTACTCAGTAGGCTGAGGCAAGAGAATTGCTGAGCCCAGGAGTCTGAGGCTATAGTGACTGTGCATCACTTCCAGCCTGGACAACGGGGCAAGACTCTGTCTTAAAAAGAACTGAATGCATCAATTTTCAATTAAATCCATCAGGGCTATTACAATCAGAACAATTATAGTTTGTGGATGATTAAAAAAGAAATTCGAAACACATTATAAACAAACATTTATAAATAGACAACACTTTTATAAAAGCTAGATGCTTTTTAAATTGTGGTTTCTTACTGGGCGCAGTGGCTCACGCCTGTAATCCCAGCACTTTGGGAGGCCAAGGCAGGTGGATCACAAGGTCACAAGTTCAAGACCAGCCTGACCAATATAGTGAAACCCCATCTCTGCTAAAAATACAAAAATTAGTTGGGCATGGTGGTGTGCATCTGTAGTCCCAGCTACTCAGAAGCCTCAGTCTGGGAATCGCTTGAACAAGGGAGGTGGAGGTTGCAAGTAAGTTGAGATCACACCCATTGCACTCCAGTCTGGGTGACAGAGCGAGACTCTGTCTCAAAAGAAAATGGTGGTTTCTAAGGCACCACAGCACTAAATGGTTCCCTATTGCTTTAAAATAATCCTATTGTTGTTTGGGAAGGGAAGTTTGAACAGGAAGCAGGAGTTAATAGGAGAAACTGATAAATTCCACTCTTCAGTTTCTTATGAGAAACATAATGTAGCATTCTAGTAATGATGAAATTAATGTTCTAATTTAGCTCTTTCTCAAGCTAATAACATAACCTCAAATAAATCATCCAACTGTTTTGAGCTCCAAATGGAGAAAATGAGACTAGGTGAATGCTAGTATTTTCTCTAACTCCATTTATTCAGTATGCTAATCATTGATTAATAATCAACGATTAATTAGTGATTGCTAGAAAAAAATTAAATATAAATAGTTGATGGAAGTTACTCACCCCTGTAAATACAGCGACTTTCTTAATTTCGGAAGCAAATGGATATGGCAAACTAACAACACTGGTAAATGGCTCCACGTCTTTCTAAATACACAACAAGGAAAAATAATTATGAAAAGTAGTATCTTTTCTATCTCTCACACAATTCTATATAAAACAAGAATGGACATGTTTTCAGTGTTCTGATTCTACTGTATGTTCTCCCATTAATTCAGAACTATTCATTGATTACTATTCATGAATTACTTACTATTCATCAATTACAATTTAAAGCACATGATATTATATTTCTTTTTCAAGATTATATTTTTTTGATAATAAAAACCAAAATCTCTTTTTCCAGGTTCATAATCCCATGCCACTTGGCTTCTATCTCTACATCATTCATCAGTCTCTCAAATATTATGAAATGTGTTTGCATATCAACATCTTCCCCAGCACTACTAGAATGCTTTCCATTTGATGAATAATAAATGTTTGCTACCTTCAATTGACTGTTTTAAAACTATGTAATCTTCTGACACCATCAGGGAGACATGAAAACAGCTGTACATACTGAACAAGACAATGTCCAGCTGATCTGCCTAGTAGATCATCCCTAATTGTCATCATTGGCTCTAAACTATCAGGAACTGTAAACCCTAAACCCAAGACAAAATGCCAAGCCTAAATGGCTCTTCTGAGTGACTCCATTTTCGAAACAACCTAGGCCATCATGACTTTCAAATTTACTTAGGAAGTCAATTGGAGAATTCTAAATAAACAATGGCATGAATTTGAGGCAAGCTAATACAAGTGGAGATTTTATAGGATCTTCAAACTAATCTGTTCAGTCATTTTGACCAGGAACTATTAAGACCTGAGACCTAGTCTCCTAGGGAGACTACATAGAAACAAGTTCCAGGCCCTCCAAAGTTCTGTTACAGCCTTAAGGTTTGAAGAAAAGGTGGTCATTCCCCTAATAAAACTGATTGAAAGATCAAGAAAATCCTATTTTGAGTAGAAACATCCTCCTGGAAGTTTCTTTTCAGACAAGAAGAGACAAATTATTAAGAATATTTTATATCATACAGCTTAGCTTTATGGACTGGCATTCCTTTGCCATTAACATGTCACAACTGGTTTCTGCAAATTTCTCAGTCATAAGCAGTCACAATAATAGCATCCCCTGTGGAATACTGGCTCGTTGTACAAGCACTGTATGAAGAAAAAAAAATGCCTTCAGAAGACAAAAGTATCTTTTCAATGTCACTAGTTTTCAAGCAGCTTCTACTTATGAAATGAAGCTTGTGGGGCTACAAAACATCATTATCAGCTACATTCATGATTGACTGAGAAAGTGATCATCTTGAACAGTACAAAATTTTCAAAATAAAAGAACAGTAACACTCTGATACAAAATACAAAATTGCAACACAGCTGTTATGAACTGTTTCTAATAAATGAGAATTAAGAAATGAGACAGACCTTGCATCAAAGCTTTTTTTTTTCCACATTAAAAAAAGACACTTATTCAGAGTCACGATCAGACTATTACATTTAGCAATTAATAGCATGGGTGCAAAAAAGAAAAAAAACTACATTAAAACCCTTTGTTGGAATGCTTTACACTTTCCACAGAACAGAAACTAAAATAACCCATTACACAATTAGTCATAAATACAGTCCTCCAGTTTTCTGCCCATATACATGAGTATCTGTCTTCTTAGTAGCACCTAGGCCCTGCCACCACTGTGCTTGGCTGAGTTCACAAATCTGTTATAAGCTGTAGCTTCCCTGTCACTCACTTCTCTGGCTCTCCTCTCCTGCTAAGCTTTGTTTCCTAATTAAAATCTGCTGCTGCTGCCAAAACTACTGCTGCTACTGGAACCGCCATAGCCACCTTGGTTTCATGGTTTGGCAAAATATTGGCCACCACCACCCTAGGGGATAGAGCTTTTGCCTCCAAAGTTTCCTCCCTTTATTGGGTCCAAAATTTGAAGGCTGACTGTTGTAATTGCCAAAATCATTATAGCTTCTGCCACCTCCAAAACTGCTTCCATCATTACCAAATCCATTATAGCCATCCCCACTGCCACCATATCCACCACCGCAATGGCTGCCACCAAAGCCACCATGACCACTGAAGTTTCCTCCATGACCAAAGTTGTTATTCCTACCAAAACCACGTCCACGACTACCACCAAAGTTTCCAGAACCACTTCAACCTCTTTGGCTGATGAAGCACTTGCCATCTCTTGCTTTGACAGGGCTTTCCTAACTTCACAGTTGTGGCCATTCACAGTATGGTATTTCTGAATGACAGTCTTATCCACGGAGTCATGGTCGTCAAAGGATACAAAGGCAAAGCCCCTTTTCTTGCCACTGCCTTGGTCAGTCATGATTTCAATCACTTCAATTTTTCCATACTGTTCAAAATAATCTCTTAGGTGATGTTCTTCAGTGTCTTCTTTAATGTCACTAATAAATATTTTTTTCACAGTTAAGTGGGCACCTGGTCTTTGAGAATCTTCTCTTGAGACAGCTCTCTGTGGTTCCACAAGTCTTCCATCCACTTTGTGTGGCCTTGCATTCATGGTTGCATCCACCTCCTCCACAGTTAAATACGTGATGAACCCAAAGCCTCTGGAGTGCTTGGTGTTTGGATCTCTCATTACCACACAGACTGTGAGCATTCCCCATTGCTCAAAATGGCTCCTCTGGCTCTCATCAGTTGTTTCTAAGCTCAACCCTCCAATGAAGTGCATCCTCAGCTGTTCTGGCTCTTTAGGAGACTCTAACTTAGACACGATCGCAGGGAGAAGAGACTTCAACAATGCTTCTTTGGTGGCGTCCACAGGCACACAGGCCTTGCTTCAAATCTTACCTCTGCCCCCTATTCTATGACCTTTAAAAAGTTATTTCACTTTCTATACCTCAGCTTCCTCTTCTGAGATTATTATAGAATTAAACAAGGAAACACATGCAAAGCATTTAGCATTGTAGCTGATAAACAGTTTTCAGTAAATGTTGACTATTATTATTAAGCACACACTAAATCCTTTACAGGCATTATCTCATTTAATCCTCCACAACCACAGGAACATTTTATTCCCTTTTAGAAAGCGATGAAGAAACTGAGATTTGAAGAGGTTAAGTATTAAACCCAAAGTCATGGAGCAAAGAAGTCCAAACTCAAAAAGCAATGACGCAGGTTTCCGGTCTGCAGGTGGACTCCAGAGCCTGTGCTCTTAAGTATTGCATTGTACTGCCTCCTCCTACGTGCTCTACTACTGTTGTTGTTGAGGTTGTTAAATTACATTCAAAAACTAATACATTTTAGCTTGTCCAAAAAAAGGACATCCTTAGAATAAAAATTAAAGCCATTTCTAAAAACATTAGAACTCTTAAGCAAGAAGCTTATAAAATTTAGGGCTAAACTAGACCTTAATACTAAGCTAGTGTCTTTTCCTGCTTCTAATTTAGAGTTTTATAATCAATAGTATTCTGTTGAATTCCAATATATAAATAAATAAAGCAGAGAAGCTCTGGTTGAAGCAAGCGTGAGGAACTTGGAATGCCACCTATGAAAACTTAGTCTCCACGAATGTTCATTGCAGCACTGTTTACAATAGCAAAGACCTGGAACCAACCCAAATGCCCATTGATGATAGATTGGACAGGGAAAATGTGGCACATACACACCATGGAATACTATGCAGCCATAAAAAACGATGAGTTCATGTCCCTTGTAGGGACATGGATTAATCTGGAAACCATCATTCTCAGCAAACTGACACAAGAACAGAAAATCAAACACTGCATGTTCTCACTCCTAGGTGGGTGTTGAACAATGAGAACACATGGACACAGGGAGGGGAGCATCACACTCTGGGGTCTGTCAGGGGGATACAGGGGAGGGACAGTGAGGGTTGGGGAGTTGGGGAGAGACAGCATGGGGAGAAATGTCAGATACAGATGATGGGGAGGAAGGCAGCAAATCACACTGCCATGTATATACCTATGCAACAATCTTGCATGTTCTTCACATGTACCCCAAAATCTAAAATGCAATAAAAAGAAAAAAAGAAAACTTAGTCTCAACCTAGGACCCCAAGGAACATATCTGAAGGACACTGAGCTAATCCAGAGCCTTTATTTACAGAGAAGAAACATGTCACCTAAGCAGTTTAAGTCACTTTTCAAAGTTAAGTGATATCTCAACTAATTTTAACACTAGTTTTATTGAAATTTATACTAGTGACTCTTCAGGGAAACAGAAACTCTATGTTAACTCTCTAGAGTGTTTTCAACAAATTTTATCTTTGGAAAATTTGTAAATGGACAAACAAATTTTTCATGGTAAAGTACAGAAAGAGCATGCACTTTTCTACAAATTATGAGAGGCAGTAATTTTGAAAATTAAGAGACCAAGCACAGTGGCTCATGCATGTAATCCCAGGAGGCCAAGTAGGGCAGATAGTTTGAGCCCAAGAGTTCCAAACCAGACTGGGCAAAATGGGGAAACCCCCGCCTCTACTAAAAGTATAAAAATTAGCTAGGCGTGGTACACCTGTAGTCCCAGCCACTCAGGAGGCTGAGGAGGGAGGATCACCTGAGCCTGGAAGGTGAAGTTTGCAGTGAGCTGAGATCATACCACTGCACTCCAGCCTGGGCAACGAAGCAAGACCCTGTTTCAAAAATAGTAACAACAATAAAATAAAATAAACACCAATTCCTATAGTCACTGTTCAGAAATAAACTTATTTTAACAGAATCTACATACCTTCTTTCCCTGTGTCATATCCAGTGTCAAATCAAGAAAAACACTTTGCTTTGGATGAGTAAAGTCAAGAACTTGAAATTTCTTAAGTAAGTGAACAGCTTTCTCCACCTCATATATCTGTCTTGGGTATAAGCGTTTTAAATAGACATCATCCTCAGGTTCACCTTCCATATAGGGATATGCCTTTATTTTTTCTATTTCAGCTTTTTTCTCATCTGGTGCTTTTTCTTTAGCACTTTTTTTAATTTTCTTTGCAGACCTTAAAAGAAAATAAATTCAGTTATATCAATATATATTCTAAGACTTTTTTTAAACAAAGCCAATGCACATAAGAGAAAAAAACAAAGAATGAATTTTAATTCAAAAGCATAAACTGCTTTATAGTTTTTCTAATTCAACAAACATGAAGTGAACTTTTCCAATGTTTGAAGTCATAAATAAGTTGAATTATGGTGCTGATGCTGCTCTCTATTATCTTACAGAGGAGTAGAGGAAAGAGACATACTAACAGATCATTTCAATATAATGTGGTATTACGAGAGCATCATCAGAGCCTGACAGAAAAGACACTTAACCCAGCCTAAAAGACTAGGGAAAACTTACAGGGGAAATGACCCCAAAGTGAATGACCCCTTATCCATTAAGAAATGGATAAGGAAGAGTTAGCACCCCAAAGAAGTGAAAACATATGACACAAAAACTAGTACGCAAATGTTATTAGCAACATTATTCATAATAGACAAAAAGTAGAAACAACCCAAATGTCTATCAACTGATGAATGGATACATAAAATGTGGTATGTTTACACAATGAAATATTACTCAGTAATTAATAAAAGAGCATGAGCCCTAAAAACATTAAGCTAAGTGAAAGAAGCTAGTCACAAAAGACCACACATGATTCCATTTATACCAAATATTAAGAATGGGCAAATCTATAGAGACCGAAAAGTCAATCTGGTGGCTGTTCAGTGCTAGAAGAGGAGGTTGGGGGAACAGGGAGTGAATGCTCATGGGAATGGGGTTTTTTCAGAGGGCAATGAAAATGTTCTAAAACTGATTACAGTGATGGCTGAACAATTGTGAGTATGCTAAAAACCAATGAACTGTATACACGAGTGAATTGTATGATATGTAATTATACCTTAATAAAGCTTTTATTTAAAAAATAATAGAGTTTAGCCACGTAAAGAAAAAACATAATAAAAAGCACTGAGGCATAAAATGGTATAAGAAGGGAGCTATTATAGGTTCTACATGATGAGAGCAGGGCCGATAAACTCTGCTAAGGACCAGAGAGTAAATGTTTTAGGTTTGTGAGTCATCTGTTGCAATGACTCAACTCTGCCATTGTAGTGCAAATACAGTCAGTAAACAATATTGGCTCGCTCGCCAAAGTTTGCTGACTTCTGAACTAAAACGGTAAAAGAGAAGGCAGCCAAGAGTGGAAGATGAGGTTAGAAAAGACAGATCACAGGGGACATCCTCTAAAGGCAATAAGAAGTCAGTAAATAGGAGTGACATCTGTATTTTAGGCAGTGTATTCTGGCTGCAATATAAGAGATCTGAAGAAAGTAGGATTGGAAACAATTAAGTCTATTCCCTCCCTTTCTTCTCAGAGATATGAGAACCTGAACCAGAGAGACAATGGTAATAAGACTGGAAAAGATGATAGATTAGAGAAACACTGTCAAACTAAATACTGGGCCAGGCACGAGGGCTCATGCCTATAATTCTAGCACTTTGGGAGGTCAAGGCAGGAGGACTGTGTCAGGCCAGGAATTCAAGACCAGCCTGGACAATATAGCAAGACCCTTCCTCTACCAAACCAAAAAAATTAGACAGGCATGATGGTACATGCTTGTAGTCCCAGCTACTCAGGAGGCTGATTTGGGAGGATCATCTGAGCTCAGGAGTCTGAAACTGCAGTGAGCTATGATTATGCCAGTGCACTCCAGATAGGTGACAGAGTGAGACCTTGTCTCAAAAAAAAAAAGTAAATACTGAAGATAGGAAAAAGAGAAAACAAAGACTCCAAAATACTTCCTAGGTATTCCATACTTGGGTGACTATGCATAGAATAGAATCATTAACTAAGATCAGAAATAAAGAAGGCAAAACAGGTTTCTGGTCTGGTGAGGGAGGTAGTCAGAGATTAGTTCAGTTTGTGGGATACAAAGTCTGAGTATGGGGTCAATTGTACCATTGGTCCCAATTCTTTGCTTCCTTTCAAGTCCTTTGCTCAGTGACTCTGCTGTTCCTCCCACTAAAGAGGAGGAGTATATTTCCCAGCCCCTTTATTTTGCCATGTGACAACTTTTGCCTGACAGAATAAAGCAAAGATGACAGTTTTCCTGCTCTATGCTTAGGCCAAAAGAAGTTTCAAATGTTTCTACTTTCATGTTTGCATTTCTGCCATTTTCATTAGAAGAACATGCCTAGGCTAGCTCAAAGGTAGGAGAATAAGAGACATGTAGAACAGAGCTGCCTCCACAGAGCCCCAGGATACATTAGACAATTCTCAGCTGACCTGCAAACTCTCAGATGTACTACAAGTCCAGCCAAGGTCATCAGAGACATCCATCAAACCCAGCCTATGTCAGCTGGCACTCAGATATGTTTGTAACATAGCAAAAGTTAACAAGGTGCTTACAAAATATCTAAGAAAATATATTCAACAAGTAATGGCAGATAAGAGTTTGAAGAAAAAAAGACAGAACTAGAGGTGATATAATTTTCTCAGCATTAATTCAAATCATGGCTATCCTCTTTTAACCACAAAAGTTTTAAATTCATTAATAGTATTCTGGAAAGAGGTTTGGGTTCTGCAGTAGGCAGAATACTGAACCCTCAAAGAGATCCATATCCTGATTCCCAAATCTTGTGAATATATTACCTTACAAGGCAAAAAAAAAAAAAAGACCTTGCAAGCAAGATAAGGTTAAAGACCTTGAGATGAAGAGTTATCCTAGATTATCTATGTGGGCCCAGTCTGATCACATGCTTCTGCATAGCAAAAGAAACAGTCATTAGAGTGAATCGGCAATCAACTGAATGGGAAAAAATTTTTGCAGTCTACCCATCTGACAAAGGGCTGATATCCAGAATCTACAAAGAACTAAAACAGATTTACAAGAAAAAAACAAGCCCATTCAAAAGTGGGCAAAGGATATGAACAGACACTTTACAAAAGAAGACACACATGAAGCCAACAAACATATGCTCATCATCACTGGTCATTAGAGAAATGCAAATCAAAACTATATTGAGATATCATCTCATGCCAGCTAGAATGGCGATCATTAAAAAATCTGGAGACCACAGATGTTGGAGAGGATGTTGAGAAATAGAAACACTTTTACACAGTTGGTGGGAGTGTAAATTAGTTCAACCACTGTGGAAGACAGTGTGGTGATTCCTCAAGGACCTAGAAATAGAAATTCCATTTGACCCAGCAATCCCATTACTCGGTATATATCCAAAGGATTATAAATCATTCTACTATAAGAATGCATGCACATTAAATGTTCATTGCAGCACTGCTTACAACAGCAAAGACCTGGAACCAACCCAAATGCCCATTGATGATAGATTGGACAGGGAAAATGTGGCACATATATACCATGGAATATTATGCAGCCATAAAAAACAATGAGCTCGAGTCCTTTGTAGGGACATAGATGAACCTGACACAAGAACAGAAAATCAAACACTGCATGTTCTCACTCCTAGGTGGGTGTTGAACAATGAGAACACATGTACACAGGGAGGGGAGCATCACACACTAGGGTCTGTTGGGGGAAAATAGAGGAGGGACAGCAGGGGGTGGGGAGTTGGGAAGAGATAGCATGGGGAGAAATGCCAGATATAGGTGATGGGGAGGAAGGCAGCAAATCACACTGCCATGTGTGTACCTATGCAACAATATTGCATGTTCTTCACATGTACTCCAAAATCTAAGATGCAATAAAAAAATAAAATAAATAAAATTTAAAAAGTGAGAGTCTTTTCCTATACCCAACTGCATCACACAGAGATGGGAAAATGACACTGGAAAAATTCAAGCAACCAGCCATTGCTTTAAAGATGAAAGATGAGGACCATGAGGTAAAGAATGTGGGTGGCCTCTTGAAGCTGGGGATTGCAAGGAAATGGATTACCCCCCTAGAGCCTCCAGAAAAAAAAAAAACTGCCAATACCTTGATTTTAGCCCAATGAGATCCATGTCAGACTGCTCACCTACTAAACTGTGAAATGAAAAACTTGTGTGTAGTTTTAATCCTCAAAGTTTGTGGTAATTTGTTATGGCCAAAAATGAATATGAAGTCCTATAAAACTGATGTGAAAGAAATGGATGACAGTAAAACAGGTTTTTTAAAAAGACCTCAAAACCTAATTCAACGTATAATTCTATTCTCTTTTAGCACTCAATAAATCCTTACTATCACCACTAATAACAGTACTCTCCCAGTTTGTGAGCAATTCAACAGAATATTAGATAATGACAATGCTCATTTTTAATGGGGCACAGCTGTCCCTCTAGACTGATGACAAATCTTAGCAAATGGATACAACACATTTCAATAGCTACCTTGGAAATACTCCACAAAGTCTTGAAACCTTCCAAACTGGAGAAACCACATTTTTACTTTATATTTAGCAAAACAGCAGAGAAGCCAAGAGAGTAAGGATCTGGAAAGACTGTTTTAGAAATAAACTCTCCTATTTAAAATAAACAAAATGTTCTAGCTGTAGCCTCCAGACTTACTTTACATAAATGCAGAATTCACCACTAAATTTCGATCATAGTTGAACCTGTGCATTTAATTTACAATCAATCTGATATTCCCCAAGGCTGAAATATGACTTTTTAAATTAGTAAGTATTTGCAAAACCTGATGAAGGTATGACACACAGAGACTCAGCTGGGTATACTGTAATTTATTTATTTATACTTTGGACCTTGTTTCACAAAATATTTAAAGCAGTTGAATGAAAATATGTGTAAACACAAAAAAAGTATAACAACATTGTAACACTGATCAAATAGGACACTCAGGAAAATGCATTCTTAAAAAAAAGAAATTCATTTTAACAAATCCCTTCAATAATAACTAATCTAACAGACCTGCAGCCTGT